AAGGACCTTCTCTTGTCAGTCTGAGATAAAAGCTCAGCTACAACCTTGCCTTCACTAATCAGGACTCCTGTATTCAATTTCTCAAAATGAGGCTCTCTGCTCAGCTCCCGTGGCTATGGATGCTCTGGGTGCCTGGTAAGAACAAAAGGAGATGAGTGTGGAGCATGGGGTGGAAGGATGAGCTCTGGGACTCCACAGTGTCCCATGCTTATTCTGACCAAGTGTTAGAGGTGTATGGCTTATGTTTCAGGGAAGAGAATTTACAATTTGCCCTGTGAATAATTAGAAACTATCTGAAAGGAACAACGACCAGTACTCTGAATACTATCTTGAAAAATAAAAGGATCTCTTGTACCTAGTAAATAATGGGCTCATTGTTAAAAGTTTATTTTTTGTGATGTGAATCAAAATTATTTTTTAAAAAATAAATCAATATTATAAGCAAAATGTTTTTAAGCTCATAATGTTTTTACACAACTTCGTACTTTTCTCTCATTGATTCAGGATCCAGTGGGGATATTGTGATGACCCAGACTCAACTTTCCCTGCCTGTCATCCCTGGAGAGCCGGCTTCCATCTCCTGCAGGTCTAGTCAGAGCCTCCTGCATAGTGATGGATACACCTATTTGCACTGGTACCTGCAGAAGCCAGGCCAGTCTCCACAGCTCCTGATCTATTTGGGTTCCAACTGCGCCTCTGGAGTCCCTGACAGGTTCAGTGGCAGTGGGTCCGGCACTGATTTCACACTGAAAATCAGCAGAGTAGAGGCTGAGGATATTGGCATTTATTACCGCATGCAAAATCTACAAATTCCTTCCACAGTGCTACATCCTCAAAAAGAAACCTCCCTGCTGGGGTTGCCCAGCTGCCCACATGCACTTCTTTTCTGGGTAGGAGCTCAGCTGGGTCTCTGCGTTTGCAGAAGAGGAGGCTGTTGGAGAACTCAGGGTCAGAGTTTGCTGCTAACAACTGTGGCCCATGAATCCTCAATTGTATCTCAGTCTCATATGTTAAGGCCCCATCAACTGCCACCACCTGGGAATGACATCAGCAGTAGGAGAATTCAGTTGGCCACATGCCCTGTGAGCAAGCAGCTATGACGAAAAAAGAATGAATAAAATCTTATCCTCACCCTCCCCATCTTGCCCACATTTTTCAAACACATTTGGTTGACAGAACAACCAGTCCATAGATGCAGATTAGTGACAACACAAGGGGAACACATTTTGGAAATTGCCAGTTTAGGGTGTATCTTATACAAGATAATACTTGGTCATATTGAGATACTGTTTTTGTCCCACTTTACCAAAAACTTTGTATCTCCTTTATCAATTATAAACTACACTGCCCTCCCCAGTGTCATGCTGAGAAAGCATTCTACACAAGCTGTTCTCAGGGTAGGATAGCCAAGAATAATTAGTAAAAATGTTTGATTGTTGGCTATTCATAGGCTTTGTAAATTCATGGCAGATATAAGACTCTCATGCCAAAATATTTTAATTTTCCTCAATTACCTTCTTTCCAGTGAAACAAAGTTCTTGCAATTCCAAAAGTGAGTTTTGAACATAAATACCATATTCAAAGATGTAGAACAGAGACTTTACTAAATGCAATAATGTATGATGTTTTTCTTCTTCACCCCAATTTTAAGAATTTCAAAAGTATTTAACCTAAGTGCTATTTTAGAGATGACACATTCACTATGATGCTCTCATAAGAAAATACTTCAAATAATACAAAAATATTTTATATTCATATTACTTCATCATTACCAGAAAACAAATAGAAATCCTTTCTTTTAGTTGTAAAAGCACAAAAAACTTATGCTTTCAATTGATTCCACTGAAAATAGTGTCCTGAAGTTCTATCAAAATTAATGATGAGTCATGTCAGTTACATGACAGAACATGGTATGACAGAAACAAAAGAATGATTGAAGCAACAGAATAAGAAGCTCCTGCTTCAGGCGTAGGGTTTAAAGTGTATTTGAGATGATTTTCAACTCCAAGATAATGAATCTCATGGCAAGTGCAATTAAAATTTCAGTGTCATTTTTGTTAAATTTAAAACGTATGTGGATAAATTTATATAGAAATCAATCGAACTGGAGTAATCAAATTAAAAAGCACAACACATAATACGCTATTTAAAAGTACTACTAAATGCAACATGGAGCTTAAAAGATATGAAGTATTACAGAATGCAGTGGGAGACAACAAAGTGTGAGTAGCTAGAGCAGGAGGTGAGCAGCCATCGTCATCGTTAGCCCTCATGTGATTGACAGCACCTAGTCACTATAGAATCTGCTTTCATGTGAGACGGGATAAGTTCTAAAACCACTCCAAGGTGGCTTAAAAAATGAATAAGCTCAAAATTTACATGATGGTGATACCCCAAGGGGCTACACTCTTAAATCAAAGTGTTGAAAATAAATGATTCCAGAAACTGAAAGTGGACACCAATCAGAATCAGAAGACAATCAAATTGCCAATTACAAAGCAGCCTCAAGATATGGTGGACTAAATATGACAAGGTTTCTGTGTCTGTGACATGGCAGGTCAGAAACAGTCAGGTGGCTTTGGTGGTGTGGGTAGCTTTGCTTCATGAGGTCACTCAGGTGGGCAGGAGGCATGACCACTCTCAGAGCACAGCCACCCTCCTTCCTCACAGTGGCCGCCCCGATGCCCATCCTCAGCAGAAAGAGTGGAAGAGAGTGGAGAGAACTCTGTTTTCTTCTAAAGATAAAAGGAAATTTCCATCAAATTTAACAGCAGATAGGTTTGAGGGGACACAGTGAAACCATAGCACTGACTGATGGAAGGCTCATTCCAAGCCCTGTGGTCTGCCATGCATGCAGGCAGAGCTGCCTTTCTCAGACACAGCAGTGAAGGGCAGAGATGGCCATGGGGAATCAGCAGAAGCACAGTGAAAGGGAAAGGTCTGGGTGCAGACACAGACTGATGCATCCATCCAGAAAAAAGCACCTGTATCTTCCACCTGAAGCTGCATCCCTCTGGAATGATGTTTCTTGGCAGGTCAGTTGTAAGTCAAGGAACCTGGGAAATAACATCTCCAGATATGCTGCATTTGTGTAATGTTTATTTTAAACTGAAAGCATTTAGAAAACATCAATTGGACAAAGTCTCTTTTACTCCAGAAGGAATCCAATTGTCATGAAAACCCTCCCTGGGAATGTTGATCTGTCAGGAAATATTAACACGCAATAGGAGTTAAATTCAAAAGAGATTGGAAGTTGACTTCATCCAGACAGGGTATTACCTATTTTTTTGAGGACTCATTTATTTTATTTTACATCATTTACTCTCTCTAGGTTGCTTACAGTCCCCACCTCCCTCTTCCCTATAAAGGATGTATAAACACCTGGATCTCACTGGGTTTTCTGGATAATCTCTCTCCTTTGATATTTCCTCCGCATGTTAAATAAATTTGTTTGCCTTTTTCTCCTATTATTTACTTTGTGTCCATTCATTTTAAGCAAACCTTTAGAGGGCAAAATCAAATTTTCACATTTCACCTTACACAAGCAAGTTTCCTTAAAATTCAGGCCCCTGAATGGGCAGCAGGAGGGTGTGTGCAGATGCTACACCAGAGTCATTTGGCCACTTCTACTCAGGCATCACTAATACTCCCCAGAACCCCAGGCTGCAGCCCACTGATGCTGATGTAGGTGGATCCACTTCCTCTGCTGCTGAACCAGGCTGAGATGATGTGAGATATAATGGTTCCAAATCTCTGTCCAGTTTTATCCAAATCCAAGTGATTTCTCCATATACATGGGCATTTGCTTGACAGGAGATGGAGACTCTCTGTCCTGGATATCAGACAGGAGGCTGGCATCTTGATCAGAATGTCCCCACTTACTGCTAAACAGTGAAAGAGGAAAGTGCCTTTGATAGTGCAAGGCAGACACATGCACTGAGAAGCAGCTGCCCTCACTAGGAGAGAGGGTTCACTGTACTGATCTTTCCCAAGTTATCTCCTTCATGGGCTCTCCAGAAATCCAGGCTCCAGAGCCCCCAGGAACATGCTGGTGAGCAGTGCTGCTCGGAGCATTACTCAGTGGATATAATACTGGCCTTTTTATTTTAGAGACAATTGATCCTTAGATAATTTCAAGTTTATCTTAATCCATGGTCCTATAATTGGATGAAGAAACAAGTAACTTTTTTTGAAGTAATCAGATCTGGCATCACTAGTGAGCCCTTTCTTCTTATAAACCCTGGGAAAAATATCCAATGACAGAAAAGGAGGTGTAATAGAGAGATCCCCAAAGCAAAAATAAGATGCAGCTCGTATAATGTTTGGGCATTACTGAGGCCTATAAGTTTGCATAATGGTGGAACTGTGAGTGATACATGCTTTGAGGACTTAATAGCACCATCTTTGTGCACCTGCAGTGAATTGCTTGACATTGTACTGATAATAAGAATGGCTTAAGGTTATTATAAAATACTTACAAATATGCTTAGCATTATCTCAATACATATTTTTCTTCATTTTTTTAAGAAGGAATAATTTTACACTCACAGAAATGTTGTAAGCATAGCACAAAGTACCCCCTTCCCTTTCAGAGTGTTTTGAAGACATGCTGATTCCACACTCTAAAAACTTTACTTTGAGTTTCCTACAGAGAAGAATATTTTCCCAAATAATCCCCATATGCCAACAGAATACATTACTCCTTCAAGTATTCAGCAGTATTTCAAATTTTGACAATTATCAAAAAATGTTTTTTGTTACAAATGGGCCCCCAGGAAGAAAGAGATTAAAGACAAGTCTGGGTTGCCCCAGTCTGACCTGAGACCCTGGGGACACTGTCCCTGTGCTGGGTTACTGAGACGAGCCAGCCCTGTAGCTGTGCCCAGTGGGCCCCATCCCCTTCTGATTTGCATGCTCCCAGGGCACAGCCCCCTGCCCTGAAGACTTCTTAATAGGTTGATCACACTCTGTGCAGGAGTCAGTCTCAGTCAGGACACAGAATGGACGTGGGAGTCCCTACTCAGCTCCTGGGGCTCCTGCTGCTCTGGCTCCGAGGTAAGGAAGGAGAACTCTGGGAGTTTACTCAGCCACTGTGCTCAGGACTGGCTGGATTTTTGGGGAGGGCTTCTTATAACATGACTGATTGTGTGGATGTTTGTTTTTATGTTTCCAAACTCAGGTGCCAGATGTGACATCCAGATGACCCAGTCTCTGTCCTCCCTGTCTGCATCTGTAGGAGACGGAGTCACCATCACTTGCCGGGCAAGTCAGGGCATTAACAATGAGTTAGCCTGGTATCAGCAGAAACCAGGGAAAGCCCCTACACTCCTGCTCTATTCTGGATCCAGTTTGCATACAGGGGTCCCATCTCAGTTCAGTGGCAGTGGATCTGGGACAGATTTCACTCTCACCATCAGCAGCCTGCAGCCTGAAGATGTTGCAACTTATTACTGTCGACAGGATTATAATACCCCGTCCACAGTGTTACAAGCCATAACAAAAACCCCCAGGGAAGCAGATAATGTGAGTCCGCACTGCCGTAGCTACTCCTCCTGGTGCCTCCATCTGCTGAGAACATTTCCCAAATAGCATCCACACTTTGAATGTCATTGGAAAGTTTTTGTACAAGGTACACTGAAGCCTCTTCTTTAACTTAACTGTCTTTCCTTCTCCTCATCCCCAGCAGCACAGACATGGCAAAGCCTCTTCTGATTGCATTACGAACAGAGATGATTATGCCTGAGAAGTCTGAGTTATAGTGTGAATTGGAATTAATATCATAAAGGAGACAGCACTCTTGGAATTCCAGGTAATATTTTTTCTCAATACAGGAAATGGGAATCTAAACTATAGTCTTTAAAGTCTTGGGGGCATGGGAGTAAAGATGCAAATACTAAAAAAGAAGGATTCTCTGGATTTTGCCATGAATCCAGAGTGCATCTGTCACAGAAGGTATAATTGCCAACCATATTGTCCTCAGACATATCTGGGAAGCCCTGGTTTGGGGCTGCTGATGGTCTCTGCCTGGAGAACCTGCCTGATTTTCTAAGGCATCTGCTTACAGTTGACCAGCAAGGGTCCTATTGCAAAGAGACCTAGCAAAAGAGAATGATCAGAGTAAAAGGTCAATTTCTTCCAGTGCCCACCTGGTCCCATTTTCCCTGAACCCTCCCTGTTGCTTATATAAATCCTTTCATGGCTCTGTCCACTGACTCACTGAGCTCCGGACTCTCTGGTTTCCTGGTTCTGCCCTAAACAAGCCTCACACTGCCACGCCCTTGGATCTCTAATCTCATTGCTTTCTCAGTGGTGATGTTTTTCCCCAGACCTTTCATGGACTTCATCCCTCACTCCCAAACCCAACCCAGAGCTTCTCATCTTAATGATCCCTCTGAATGTGTTCATAAGACACTCTACTCCACACTTCTGTCTGAAGCACTTTTCACGTTCTGACTCATGATGTAATTTATTTCCTTATGATTTTACACTTGATAGGCTGACTCCCTCTAGTGGAATTTAAGCTTCATGGGGTCAGGGGCCATTGTCTATTATTTGCATTGCTGTATCCCAGTGTAATGGGAGCACCCGAAGACAATAGGTGCTCAATGGGGGGCCACTCTTCCCAGGAGTCTGCATGTCTAGAAGTCTGGGAGGACTGTAAAGAGTGGATTAAACTGTTTCTTACATGGACAATGTTCCCTTTTCCTTTTTTATTCCTTTTTCATACTCAGTCCTTAGGAAATAAGGAAAATTACAATTCTCAGAACTTATGTAATTTGTCTCAAGTGATATTTTAGGTTGTATTTCCTAAAAACATGCAATAATAAAATAACATTATGGTACTCAATTGATTACATTATATTTCATATATAATGATATACAATATATGCTACATAAGTTATAACTACAGTAAATTTATTGACTTCCCATTTAAAAGACAAAAGTTATCAGATTATATCAGGAGTCAGATAATTGATATTTCAGTTTTGTTAGCCAAGAAAGAAAACTGAATACATTACCTAGATATTTAAATAAGAAGGAAAACAAACTTCTGCAATTGTTATTAATAATTTTAAATGGAATTTAATTCAAAGAGCTTCTCAGCCTGTTCAGGAGAACCTCACTCACCACTACTTGTTCACAATTCTGAGGAAAACAAGAAAACACCAGATAAGATTCTCGTTTCCATCAGTGGCATGAAGAGAGGTTTTCAAAACTGTTAAAGGGAAAAGAGTCTGAGTCTGGGTGAATGGCTGTGTTGTACAGAATGGAGCTCTAGAGAAGAGAAGATGCCACCCCCAATTTTTCCTGGCCAGCTAGACAGCACCATCATCACTCTGCAAGGAGTGGAATCACACACTGAAGAGTCTGAGCCTGGAGTCTGTTTATCTTTGTAGCTGTTGTCACTCATTCACCCACAGTGCTTGGCCTAATAAAGTGATGTCCTTTTCTAGTTCTTCCAAAGAATGGAAAAATGTTCAGGGCTCATAGAAAGATGGCTAAGTTGCGAAGGAGAAGTGTGTATAGAAAATGAATTTCTGATCAATGACTTCAGGCAGGTACAATCATGCAGCCAGGAAAATGACTGGGCATGTTGGGGGAAGAAAGAGAAAAAGAAACCACAGATTTTTATTTTTTTTCTCCCAGGAGGTTTGTACTAAACACCATCTGTCTGAGCCTAGGTAACTGGTAAGGTAGGAAGACAGGGATTAAACTGTGTGTCCAGAGGTGAGAAAGTCTACTCCCATGCTGAGCCAGTAGCTTTCTGACCTGACCACCTGGGCAGGGGCTTCTCAGTGCAAAGAAGAGGAGGCAGGTGGTCTCTGCAGAAGCACAGCACTTTCCAGGCTTCTTTGCATGTTCCTCCTAGCCATGCTGCTGTTCAGAGCTCATATCAATGTCTGGGTTAGAACTCGGGAAGAACGGCTCAGTTAGGACCCAGAAAGACTCACGGAAGCCCCAGTTCATCTTCTCTGCCTTCTGTACTCTAGCTCCTAAGTGAGGGGAAGAGTAGATAGCTCTGCACTGAAACTCAACCTTGTTGGTTCCTCTGACCTGGAATCCCTGCTGAGCAAGAACAGTAATTATAATTCAATGTAGATCAGTGATTGTGGCTATACTATGAGGGTGGTGCACTTCATGCGGCTTATGTGGGTGGCTTTCCTGTTACATTCCTATCTCAGGTCCTCCAGAGAAGTTATGTTGATGCAGTCAACTGACTCCTTGTCTTCATCTTCAGGAACAGAGACTTCCTCATGTGTGTGTGCAGTCAGAACACTGGGAACTCTTTAGCTTGGTATCAGCAGAAACCTGGGAAGGACCCCTGGTTCCTCATCTATGGTGGATACAACAGGGCTACTACCATCCCAGAGGGATTTAGTGGTCAAGGATCAGAGACAGACTTTAGTGTCACCATCAGCTGCCTGGAGCCTGAAGATTTTGCACTGCTTTGTCTTTTTTGATCTTTGTTGGTTTAAAATCTGTTTTGTCAGAAACTGCAATCTCTACTTTTTTGTTTTCCATTTCCTTGGTAGATTTTTCTCCATTTCTTTGTTTTGAGCCTATATGTGTCATTTGTCATTGCATGTGACATGGTCTCTTGAAACAGCATACCGATGAATCTTAGTTCTTTTCCCAGCTTTCCACACTATGTCTTTTAATTGGAGCACTTACCCCATTTACATCTAAGGTTATTGTGAATATGTGTGGATTTGATCCTGTCATCATGTTAGCTGGTTATTTCACAGACTTGTTATGTGGTTGTTTTATTGCGTCACTTGTCTGAGTACTTCAGTGTGTTTTTGTAGTGGCTAGTAATGGTCTTTCCTTTCCATATTTAGTGGTTCCTTCAGGAACTCTTGTAAGGCAGGTTTAGTGGTGATGTATTCCCTCAGCATTTGCTTGTCTTAAAAGGATCTTATTTGTCCTCACTTATGAAGCTTAGTTTGACCGGATATAAAATTCTGGGTTGGAGCTTCTTTTCTTTGAGAGTATTGAATATTGATCCACAGTCTCTTCCAGTTTGTAGGATTTCTGCTGAGAGCTCCACTGTTAGTCTGGTGGGCTTTTATTGGTGTGAGAGCTGGCCTTTCCCTCTAGCTGCCTTTAAGGTGCCACCTTGGAAACAGGAGCAGCCCTCACCAAACACTGAGATTGCCAGTGGCTTTACCCTGCACTTTCCAGTGTCCAGAGCTGTGAGAAAATAAATTTGTGTTGTTAATTAACACCCAGTTTAATGTGCTTTTTTTTCAGTACAAGTGTTTTGAGAAAATCGTTGTAGAACTTTTATTGTAAATTGAGTGACTATATATATATGCAGAACTGGTTTCAGATTCTCTAACTCATTGTACTATGTTATCTGTCTCATCCTTTTTTTAATTTAATTAATTTAGTATTTTTTGAGACAAGGTCTTGCTGTGTTGCCTAAACTGGAGTGCAGTGCTGCAATCTCAGCTCACTGGACCCTCTGTGTCCCAGGCTCAAGGGATCTTCTTACCTAGCCTCTCAAGTAGCTGAGATCACAGGTGTGCACCACCATGTCCAGCAATTTTTTTTGTACTTTTTGTAGCAGTGGGGTTTCACCATGTTCACAAGCTGATCTCAAACTCCTGAGCTCAAGCTATCCACACACCTCAGCCTCCCAAACTGCAGAAACTGCAGGTGTGAATCACTGCACCTAACCACAGTATGGTTATTTAATATAGGTTTTCATTTTGAGTCCTTCCATTTCTTTCTCCTTATGTAAAATTACCATGGCTGTCTTTTGCCTCCTTGCCAGTCCATCTAAGTTAGAAACATCTTTTCAATTTCAACAAAAATCTGCAGTGATTTTGATTGTCCCTGTATTGAATTAATTTGGGGAGAACTGTTATGCTTACAATATTAAGTTTTCTAATATGTATACGTGGAATCAGTTTTCATTTATTGGGTCTCCTTGATTCTCTCTCCATTACCTTTTGTACATTTGCACATACTCTTTATAAGTTTTTATTTTACCATAATGTCAGAGACAAGCTGTGAAAATATTGTAAGAAATAGAAAATGGACCCAGGTTCATTTGGTATCAGTAACTGACTTTCTAATTCTGTATTCCTTCTATAAGTTGGTATTCTGGGTACTATTGGTGCAAACAAAACAAACTACCCCAAACCTTAATAACACATGAAAAGCGCAATCATCTGCCTATCATCTCTGCTCTTCTGGATGTTGCCTGGGCTCAGAAAAGCTCCTGCAGTCAGAGGGTGGGTGGGAAGGTGTCATCTCAAAGGTGGTTGACACTGGATACAGGGTTCTCAGATGGGGCTGTTTGCCGAGTCATACGGCTACTTGGTTCCCTCAACACTTCCCCCACAGGAGTAGACAGAAGTTATGCAGACTAAATAGCCTCTTATAGCCTCACAAGGGAAATAGTGTTACTTCTACTACAGTCACATCCCCACCAAGAGTCAACAGAAATGAAGTGTAAAGCAGTAGGCTTAACAGGAGGAGCATCAAAATCACACTGTTAGAAGAAACTGCACGATAAGATTTCTTGTCACAGGCATTTTGGAGGATACAAGAGGCATCAACGCACCCGTCACCAAAGCAATTCACATTTCTCCCAAATGCTAAATACTCTCAGCTCCACATGCTCAAGTATTATCCCATGATAGTGGGATAGTGTTAGGGTACCTTCAAAATGATATCCTGTGGGAGTGATATTAGCAAAATGACAGAGTAGGGGATATTAACTTTAATCTGCTCACCTCCCCTCGCACAAAAGAAACCATAAACGCACACACAAAAAGCAAAACCAACAGTTAGACAGCTCTCTAAGAAAGAAAACATCCCTTAGACCTCAAGGGTCCAATTAAATAAGTGCAGAAACACAGTGGACAAAAATCCCAGAATTACCATACAGAAAGCATCGCAGGGAGATGGCACATCTGAGAGTTTTGAGACATCTAGGAGCAAAAAAGCAGGAGGCAATTGTTACCAGCCAGGAGGAAAGGCCACTGCAGTCCCCACAGCCTGCTCTGTGGAAGACCCTGCAGCCTTTGCAGCTGAGGACCTCAGTATCCCCCAAGGTAGCTCCACTCTACAACTTTCCTGATGAAGGTCCCTTAGTGTTCATTGATGAGGATCACAGCAACCTGTTCCACAGAGGACACTGGTGGTTTTGGCACTAAAAATACCTGCAACCATGGACATGTACATCACCCCAGAGAGGAAGATCCTGCAATACCTTCCCTCCACACCCTCCCAAGAAGCAGCCACTGTTGTGCTGCCTGGGATGGGGCTGCCTCCCAGCTCCAACGCTGCATCATCCCAGATCCGAGCTCCATGACCTCATCCTGTGTTGGCAACTCAGACCCCGAGCCACTTCCTTGTGGATCAGCCCCTCCCCAGGCCCAGAGGTGCTGTCACTACAAGAGCACCCACACTCCAGAGCCTGGCCCTGAGGCTGTTCTGAAAATTACCTAAGACATAACATAAATAGAAAATAGACAACAACACTGTATAGTGAACTGCAGAGAATAACCACACAGAAAGTGTCTCTGAGAGGTGGCACACCTGAGACCTGAGAACTATTGGCAAATGTGTCGAGAGTAATGAAACATGTTCGTCTATAACACTAAAAAAAAAAAAAAAAAAAAGGAATTTATTCAGGATAAACATCAAGACGTGCATCAGTATACAGATCATAGTTCAAATGCTGAATCACATAGGAAGAGAAAATCTCAAATGTATTAAGAAAAAAACTGGTTCAATTTACCAGAGAAACAGTAATAAAATCCTTGTTTAACTGTTCATGGGACCAATAAAGGCAAGAAGACAGTGAGATTACATATTTAAATGCTGGGTGGAGGGGACTCAATCAAGGATTCATAATCTAGTGAAAATATGCTTCCAAAATAAAGGTAAAATAAAAGCATTTATTGATGAACAAAATGAAGAGAAATGATTTCTTGCAGATATGTTCTATAAGATATTTAAGAGGAAATTTTTCAGAATCACAGGAGATGACAGCAGATAGCTGAATGCACAGAAATTAATGAAGATTTCACAAATAGCAAAGAAAAGAGCAAGAGGCAAGGAAAAAAAAACCCTTAAAAAAGGTATTTCCTTCAATTTATATGAAACTCTAGTCCAGGGAAAACCAAGCTATTGTGATGAATATCTGAATTCCAGTTACCTTGAGCAGGATGGGGGAGCAGCTGTTGCCTGGGAAGGTCCACGAGGAATGAATCTGGAGAACTTGAAATATTCTATAGATTCTTTGGGATCAAGAACACACATAAAACTCAGTTGCATATTTCACACTTCAGCCCTTTGCACTGTGTGTGTATTACCTCAATAAAAAAATTGAAAAAGCTAATTCTAGACTCAAACAAATAAGAACAAGGAAAGAAGAATTATCAATTATTTATGGAATCTCAGCCTTACTAAAGAGGAGTGAAAAATGCACCTGGGAAGAGCTAAGAAACAGGAAATCTAAGAGAGAAGATGAAAGGGACAGGGAATTTATCCTACTCATGCAGCATGGATTTTATCTCTGTTGGTTTCCCTCCAAACAGAGAAGATATTTAAGTTATTTCTCTCACAAGAGAGGCCCCTTCACACCCCCCTTGGCTCTTTCCACCCCACTGCACCCACCAGGGAATTTGCATACTGTCCCCTAGGGAGGACCTTCCCTTGTGAGTCAGAGATAAAGGCTCAGCTCCAATGTTGCCTTAACTGATCAGGACTCCTCAGTTCACCTTCCCACAATGAGGTTCCCTACTGAGCTCCTGGGGCTGCTAATGCTCTGGGTCCCTGGTAAGGACAAAAGGGAGATGAGGGAGGAGAATTGGGTTGGAGGTGAGCTCTGGGGGCCCCACTGCCTCTCATGTGTGTTCTGTGCATGTGTTAGATGTGCTTACGTTGTCCTCCAGTGTGGGGCAGATGATGTCCTGATCTGTGAGAGTGAGGAAGATTCTAGAAGAAGCAAGGGCCTGTGCCCTAGAGAAACTCTGACTCATGAAAAGGAGGATGAATTCGGGGACTTTTTTGTGCCTTGCATCTGTAGAGTCCTTTCTTGAAATTGAATAAGCTTGAAGTATGAATAAAAGTTGCAAAGAAATTATTAGATTGGTGCAAAAGGAATTACGTTTTGTTTGCAGTTAAAAGCAATGGCAAAACCCGTAATTACTTTTATATATAGGCTGAAATAACAAATAAAAAATTATGAACGTGATATGTAATATTTGTATGTAACCTTGCACTTCTCTCTCATTATTTCAGCCTCCAGTGGAGATATAGTGATGACCCAGACTCCACTCTCCCTGCCTGTCACCCCTGGAGAGCCGGCGTCCATCTCCTGCAGGTCTAGTCAGAGCCTCCTGGATAGTGATGGATACACTCATTTGCATTGGTACCTGCAGAAGCCAGGCCAGTCTCCACAGCTCCTGATCTATTTGGTTTCCAACCGGGCCTCTGGAGT